ATATAAATATAACACAATTCAATTATAGACACAATGATAAATGGGAGTTACAATCCAGTGGGATAAACAATAATCTTTCAACTAGGCTCAAATCCAACTGGGATTGATGAGATGAAGGTTTCCCCTCTCTGCTGGCTATGAGTTGGACAATGTCAATCCAGTTTCTAATCGTCCCAGAGCAGATAGCAGCTACTAATTAGCATAATTTGGCAATCTCCTTCGGAGGGGCCCCAGAATGGCCAGGCCAGGAAATAGAAAATACTCATTTGTGTCAGACAGAGATGCTCATCTGGGACATGAACAGAAACATGTGCTGGGACAGGACTGGGGAAATTTATAGATTTTTAGTGAAACTGTACCAGACTTGAATGTATGGAGCTGACATAGGCTGAAGATAATAACTCCATGTCCTTTAACATGATGAGCTCCCAAATTACAATTAAAAAGAAAGGTGAACGAAATAGGTATCATCTCATAAACACAGTGAGGTTGTGCTGAAAACACAAGTTCTCAATTGTTTTTAATTCAGCAAAGGTTTCATACTGTATGAGGTTATGGTGCACACAATCAGGGCTTAAAGCTGTGATTCCAGACTCCTAAAAGGGAGCTACATCCTAAGGGAGTAATGCATGTTGGAGACTATGCTGTAAGATACTCACCCCAGTTCTCCCAGTTGTGTTTCCACGGAACTTTGCTTCCTGCAGAGATTTTGAGATTGTGGAATTAGTTCTCTGGAAATTAACACAAAAGACCATTCAACTCATCATGCCTGTTCCAATGATGTCTCCTAAACTGAAATTCCCTCCTTTAATTGTATATCACTGTCCTTTCATCATATCCTTTTATAGTCTTCAATTTCAAACACATTTCCTATTTCATTTTAAATGAAGTTGGACTCTCCGTCTCATTAAGTCCGTGGGTAAAACATTCTATGTTCTAATAATCTCTTGTGTGATGAATATCTCTCTTTCCACTTTTAATCCTCATTTGATGTGTTCCTGTTACTGACTAGCCAACCAGTAGGAACAGTCCTTTGTTGTTTTGTCTCTCCATTTTGACCCCCAAGTGATATATATGTAGATGTCCCTATTTCAGTGGCACTGGGCATGGAGTTTGATGATTGCTATCATTCTCCTGTGATAAAAAGGCTTATGTAGAGCAAAGGTGATGGGTCAAAGGCCAGTCTGGCACTTGGCATGGATAAGGTTTATTTGATGAAGTGCCTTTGGACATTGATATAGGCAGGGGTAGAAAGAATCCAGGCTAACAGCAATAGAACAGGGAAGAAGTAAAGAATAACAAGTATTTATATATATCAAACATTTTATTAACTGGTACGTATGGGATCAGGAGTGCATCTGTTGATCAAATATTCCATTTGATCAAGAAGTCCACATAACATAAAAAGACAGTAAGTAATAGAAACACAATGCAGGGGGTATACACATCACTGTTATACTTTATTTACAGCATAATTCACTTAAATAATAATGCAACTTTGCCTTAAATAAAACTTACCGGCAGAGAGCCTTCTCACTCTCACTCTCAACTGACTACTCAGACATCACAATGATTGTGATAATACAGTAAACTTTGCAGTATTTGAGGTATATAACTTTTGCTAGTTTATTGACAATGCTTCATAAGGTACCGGTTAAAACAAAGTTTATTGTGGTATCTTATTGTCTCCTCAGGCATCCCAAAACATTGCATAACCGAAATACTAATTTTGAAATATAGTCACCATTGTTAAGTAGGGCAAATGCAATAGTCAATTTATATTCAGCAAAGCGCTATGAGATGAATAATAAGATCTTTTTTCTTTTGTTTGTGTTGGTTGAAAATGAAATGCTGCCTTAGGACCATCTGTTCCTCTTCAAGTAGTGTGATGGGGTATTTTTCATCCAGGGCCTCAGTTTAATACCTTGTTGTGCGACAGTACTGCATGCCCATCAGCATTCAGTTAAATAACAGAGAGAGATTTTTAAACCAAAGATGTTCGATGTCTGAGATGAAACTGCTGCCGTTGAACCACAGCTGACGTTGAATAGAATAATACAGAATTAGCTTTATTGTCACGTGTATTCAAATAAGTACAGTGAAAAGTTTACAGTCACTGCATTATTGCGCCAGGGCTCAAACCAGATATCAAAAGAGCCCACTTAGAACAAAAGCAGAAATGTGACTAAAATCCTGCTGATCACCCACATTGATCAAATAGGTAATATTCAGAACCCATTTGTAACAACAATACGAATTAACTTGAAACCTATAATTTCAGAATTCAAAATCAGAAGCTGTTTCTGTGCAGAGATGGCACCAACTGAAATAAAAGGTTGGTTCTGGTCAGTCAGTATTCACAAAGGGAGAGCGTGTTCTGACCTTTGTTAACAAAACTGAAGACCTTTTTCTGATGAAGGTCACGGGGGAAACATTGGCCTGTCTTTTGTCTTTGTAGATCTTTGCTACTTTTGGGTGACTGCAGTATTTTTGGTTATTGGTGCAGGTTTTCAGAATAAATTAGTATAGCCCTGATTTTATGTTATCTGCCATAATATTCAGTGGACAGTAAAATTTGGACAGGGTGGAGGTACCAGGATGGTTAGATTCAAATCCAAGGCTGCCTGGAATCTGACAAGAGCTTCTAGCCACACATCCACATCACAAGATCACTTTTTCCACCTCTACAGCATTCCCCAATTCCATCCCGACCTCAGCTTGTCCATTGCTGAAACCCTTATCCAAGCCTTTGTTACTCTGAGAATTGAAGACTTCTAGCACCGCTGGCTGGTGTCCCTCTTCTGTCTTCCATCAACTTGTGGTCATCCAGAATTCTGCTGCCCTTGTCCTAATATGCATCAAGCTGTATTTGCTTGTAACAACATGCTTGCTGAGCTCAGTTGGTCCTTAGTTAAGCAGCTCTCAATATTGAAATTCTCATCTTTGTTTCAGAATCCTTCCCTGCATTCGTCCATCCTTATTTTTGTGACCTGCTCCAGACCTTAACTCTGCAATTTCTGATCCGTACAGCATCCCTGATTTTAACTGTTAAGCCATTGATGGATTTTCCTTTAGCTGCTGAGTCCCTAAGCTTTGGAGTTTCTCTAAACATTTATGTCCCTCTCTATTCTCTAAGATGCTCCTTACCCACCTACCTTATTCACTAAGGTTTTCATTACCTTTTCTAATAGTTTATTACATTGCGCAGTTCCAAATTTGGTTTGAAAATATTCTTTGAAGTACCTTGGGATACCTTACTATATTTAAAGGCTTTATATAAATATAAATCTGAGTGTTGCATTACAGTTATTTTGGCAATGGGGATGTGCAGTTTTTAAAGTGGACATCCTAGGGCTAGTCTTCCATTTGATTCCTTTACTGTTTGTAAAGAATGAATGGTATTTTTAGGGCTGCTTTCAGCCACACAGACATCTCATCTGGAGTGCACAGGCTTTATTTGTGGAACTTAAGGACCTTTAGACCCCTTAAAAACTCGATCCTTCATTTCACTGTTAATTGGGATCTTTGTTTATTATTTGTCACGTTCATTCGGCGTGATTATGCCAGAGTTTTATTTCCAAGGAGCCATACGGACTGCTATTAAGTTACAAACTACAGCACCTCTGATACCCATTGGGAAGATTTTACAGCTGAAACACGAAGAGTTCACTTGAGGCTAATTAATCAGTAATCATTAAACATTTTGTCTTGTTAGTCAGGTAGTGGACTGGGATGCAGAATTGGCGCCCCTTAAAATTCGAGTCTTTGATATTTATTAAGGTGTTTTTATCTCTCTCTGGGACTCCTCATCACAGTTCATGATTGAACAGTTCAGCTGTCAAGAATTACCACTGATGGACGGTAGTATTTCCATAAAGGGGCCAGCAAGCTGTTTAGATGTGCATTGATCTGCTCTAGTTTTACTCAGCCCCTGCCACATCTCCAGCACAGCCTGGCTCCTGCTCGATATGCAGAATATTTCTGGATGAAGTGAGCGATTCTGTCATTGAGCTGATGGTGCTCAGTGACTCTTGCAGCTCTCTGCTGGTCTGTACTGCAGGAGCCTGACACCCTGACCACTGAGGCATAAAAAGCAGAGAATTGGAAGTCTGAGCCTGTCAGGCCCTGGCACATCCCCCTGAGAGCAAGGAGGGGGGAACAGAGGGAATCGCATTGCAAAGTGTCGGCTTGCTTCAAATCATTTGAGCAGGAGTGCAGCTGATGAGTTTTAAATCTCCCATCGCCTGCTGATTAATATGCAGAGCAACGCAAAGTGCAATCACCTCATCCTCACAGTTAAGGGCTGGGGAAGGCAGAGGCACTCCTGTCAGTCCTGAGGTGTGAGGGAAAGTTTGGCAAACAAAGGAAACAGACTTTGTTAGATTCTGAGTGTAAACAACAAATACTTTAACAAGTCACTTAGCCAAACAAGGAATGGATTTAACCGGTGTGACTAGTTATCGTTTTTATTACACGTGTATTAAAAGGTATTAATTATTTTGTGAACCTTAGGAGAAGGCCATTTGCATTGGGTTAATGTTCAGAACTCTCAAAATATAGCTGGTGATAATTATCACGTGACCTCAGTTCTTGATATTTAACATCCTACCTGTGTTGGGGGGAAAACACTGATGATTGAAGACAGCAGCTAAGAGGCAGAGAAATATAAAAACTAGTTCAGAAAATATCTACCACATTGCCAGAAAACTCCAATTAATTAGTGAACGTAGTTAGTTGATCTTGTTAATAAATGTCAATTTATTTTCCAGCCTATTCCTTGTACCAACAAGTACGAGATGTTACATGTAATGTAGCTAAATTAGTGAAGGTTTGAGTTTCACAGTAAGTGAAGTGTAAAGTGTGACTGTATGTAAGTTGATTATTGATGATTGTTTGATTCATAATGTTGAACTATGACTTCATAGTATCTTTTTCAGTTGTAAGACAACCTAGAATAATTAATTTGAGGATCTTTCCAAGATTTCGATTTTTTGTTTTAGGAGGTGATTTTTCTGGGAGTCCATATTCCCATCCACAGTATACGACTTATAACGACTCCTGGAGATTTCCCAATGCTGGATTATTAAGTAAGTGCATCTTCAGACTATAATGTTTGATAAATCTGTTTGTGCAATAAAAGCTCCATGAGTATTTGTGGTCATTTTTGTTTTTGGCCATATGATGTTTTGCCATTATGAAGAAGGTGATGGATGACCCTGACCTCCAGGCTGATAAAGAGGTTGCCTAAGCAGCTGTATCTGAGTTAGTTATTTTTAATTCCACCTCCAAATCTCAAACATTTTGAGCTACTTTATCAATTTTTTTGATCTGCCCATGAGCAGGTTGAAAAGGTTACCCTTGAGTTGATTTCTTCTGTTCCACTTCAGTGAGCTGACTGAAAATAGGAGATCACACTTAGCATTCAATACCCTCATGGTGGCATGGTGGTAATGTTAATGGACGAGTAATCCAGAGGCCTGGTCTATTGCTCTGGTGTCTTGGGTTTATATACCACCATGCCAGAGCATGTAATTTGAACTCAGTTAACAAATCTGGAATATTAAGGTAGTCCCAATTGATTGTTGTAAAAATCTACCTGGTTCACTAATGTCCTCATTAGGAAAGGAAATTGGCCATCTTTACCTGGTATTGTCTACATGTGACTCCAGACCCACCGTAATATAGTTGATTCCCAATTACCCAAGGAAATGGCCTAGCAATCCACTTGGTAAGCATAATCAGAGAAGGGCAACAAATCAGGTTAAAATGAAGAATATAGAAAACAAAACTTCATAGCACAGCTCCAGATAGAATAATCAATTTTAATTAATCTCCAATTTTCTATTTTGCTTTGTGTCTGGGAATGTGTTGATCAAGTCTATCATTAAATATGAAGACAATGAGTTTATTTTAAATAGCATAGCGTTGTAGTGTGACGGCTAGATACAAATCAATAAGATGTGGAATATGTGGGTTAATGATACAGTAAGGTAAATGGAGTCAAGGTACAATATATATGAGTTGGAGATATAGTACATAAAGCATGTGATATGTTATGCTACAATATATAAAGCATTTTGTATATCATTTCCTACCCTATCATTGCATCTTATTGATGTTTTACTTAAAATTGTATTTTTTTCCTTTTCTGTGCCTGTTAAGCCACTAGTGGACATAGCTGGATCTGACAGCAGTTTTCTTTAAAATACTCTTTTTCACACCTCACTAACATTGCTTTCTTTATTTTTCTGTCTTCCTCACCATTCTCACCTCACCAAATTCAGTGCCGTATTAGTTCAGCATTGTTTCTTGGTTCTAGATTTATATGCCTATTGATTTGAGGATCAACTCATGTTGGTTTGATACTTACTTCCATTTTTTTTTGACAATTTAAGTGTTGTTTGTTGAAGAAGCATCAATTAGAGGTTGAACCATCTCTCTGTACAGAAAAGATGGGCAAGGGTAAATAGGAGTGCAGAGTCACCCAAATGACCTTTCAAAACTCCTGAGAGAAGGTTGTGTTCAGAGGGGATTTGAACATCCACAGAAGATCTGCAGCTCCAGGGTGGTTCCAGTCAGTGGGGGTTTTACTGAAATCTGATCATCAGTCCATGAAAATTGAGAGAACAGTGACAGTGGTCCAATGTCCACAGCTTAAACAATGTGACATCCATGTTTCTACCACAGTCCATCTGCCAAACTCTGTGCAATGGAAAATTGGTGATAGGACAAGGGTGTGAAACTGGGAGTCCCTAGTCAAGAATCTGCACACAGGCAACATGGATGATGATTATTGGGCATCTGTTTTGGGACAGAGTTGTCCTTGGGCCAGAGCACTTGTGACTGGGCAGTTCTTTATTTTTCTAAAGTTGGTTTAAATCCCACCGTGTGAAGAGTGAGGGGCACATAATCATTTACATTTCTATTTCAAATATAGTTGATAGTGTGTACAATTGTTTCCGTTTCTCTAAAGCATTTACTGCTGTGACAGGTGATGTATAACTTTCCACACAATATAGCTGAACACTGTTGACCATTTCAGAGTATATTTCAATGAGTTGTTACATCATTTAGCACTTGTCACGTGTGTCTATTTGGAGTGTTGAGGGAATATGTGCAGTGCAAATGTTGGTAGGACTGAAAATTCAAAGAAAATGTTCAAAACAAAGTAAAAGTGAGTGAAGGGAAAGAGAGTCCAAATTGATACTTTAAAAGAACACTAAATACAAGTAACAAAATCTAATGAAGAAAAATGATCCAATTTCATGCCCTTTGAATGTGATAACTCCTGTGCCATTTTAGCTCATTACTTTTAACTTGACGTAGATCAAGATAAATTTCTTTTGATGCATTGTTCCTATCTCCACTTTGACACCAATCTGTGTATACTGCAGAATTTAACTCGAGCTGACAGAATCTTTATTCTAATACAGGCAACTAGTTAAACATGTATTTTTTTTTACTGGGATATGGCGTCAGTATATGATTGTTTGCTCCACAATTGTTAAATAATTAGGGCATTTCCGGCGATGAGGTTCTGTTCTCTAGAGGTGACTTGGCATATGAAACTGTTCCTCAGTGTTCCTTAGATGGAGTGAGAATGTTACATATGTTACTGCCGTCCATTCTAACTGATTAATTTTAGCATAAATAGTGTTGGATTTATTCAACAACCTCAGTAACCTCTATCTACCTCACAAAAAAACATACATCTGCTAGTGTTTTTAACTTGTACTTCTGATGTGTGTCTTTCACAATAAGACTATCCACTCAACAAAATGAAGTGGATATTTAGGACTACCAAAAGTTTTGGTTTCAGTTGTTTTCAACTGCAGTAAGGCATGCTTAGACTTTGCCTCTCCAATTTATACTACTTTCCTTTATTTCAACCCATTCTCTCCATTTAGTAATATATATACTTGAAGACTCAACAAGGTTGTTTATTTATTGTCACCTGATTTCGTTCTTATTTATACAGTTGGAGCTGTGGTTCTCTTTCTATTCCAGAACCATTATTTCTCGGATTCCCAAAAATCAGCCCTTAGCCCCCTCCTATTTCTCATCTATATCCTGCTGCTTGATGTTATCATCCAGAAACACACAATTGGGCTCCACACCTGCAACACCCAGCTGTATTTCACCATCACTTCATAGAATCAAAGAATCCTAACAATGTGGAAGCAGACCATTCAGCCCATTGAGTTCACACCAATCTTACAAAGTGCATCCCAAACAGATCCACCTCCCCAGCCTATCTCTGTAACTCCACATTTCTCATCCACATAACCTGCGCATCTTTGGACTGTGGAAGGAAACCCACGCAGAGAATGTGCAAACTCCACACAGACAATGCCCGAGGCTGGAATCGAACGAGGTCCCTGGCGCTGTGAGGCTACAGTGATAACCACTGAGTGATCATGCCGCCTACTTCTCTCAGCCTCTGACGTAATGCCGTGCTTGTCTGACATTCAGTGCCTAACATCAGTAATGTGAAAGAAAATTCTCACGTCTTTTTTTACATTCTGTTTCCAAAACCACAGTCAACCAAATTGACGGGCTGGTAACGAGAAACAGCCCCTAGGGATAGTCTGCAGCATCCGAAGGTGAGCAGCCTGTGGAAGGGTGTGTGTCAGTGAGTCAGCTGTGATTGTGGGAAGTGAGGTACAGGAGAGAAAAGTCAGTCTTTGGTGAGGAATAGTTTGGTGATCGCAGCACAAGTTATTGAGATGTCACAACCAGCATAAGTGAGGCTTCCCTGAGGGTTAGGAATGAATGTCCTTCATTTCTTTCTGGCCGACAGGCTGTGGCCTGCTCTGACAGAGTCATACAGCATAGAAATAGGCCCTTCAGTACATCATGTCTATGCTGATCAACAAACACCAAACTACATTAATCCCATTTACCTGCACTTGGTCCATAGCCTATTATGCCCTGGCACTTTAACTGCTTGTCCAGATGCTTCTTAAATGTTGCAAGAATACCTGCCTCCACCACCTTCTCAGGCAGCATATTCCCAAATATCTACCACCCTCTGGGTGAAAGATGTTTTCCTCAGATCTCCTCTAGACCACTTACTCTTCACCTTAAACTTATGCCGTCTGGACTTAGCCATGTCTGCCATGGGGAAGATGTTCTGAGGATTTACTCTGATTATGCATCTCATAATTTTGTATCCCTCAATCAGATCCCTCCTCAGTCTCCTCTGCTCTAGCTGTGTCCTTCAAATAGTGTGGTGACCAGACCTGCACATGGTATTCCATCCATGGCCTAACCAGTGCTTTGTAAAGTTGTAAAAAGACTTCCTTGCTCTTATATTCTATGCCCCAGCTAATGAAGGCAAGCATCTGACATATCTACTTAACCACCCTGTCTACCTGTGCTGTCACCTTCAGGGATCTATGGACTTGTACACTAAGGTCCCTTTGTTCCTCAGTACACCCTAGGGACCTATTGTTCATTCTGAAGAATAGTCATACCAGACTCGAAACATTAATTCTGTTTCTGTCTCTACAGATGCTGTCAGTCCTGCTGAGATTCTCCAGCATTTTCAGCTTTTATTTCAGATTACCAGCAATCAAATTATTTGGCTTTTATTATCTCAAACTGCAGATCTTACGGCACATAGAACAAGGTGTTCCACAAATCAGCGGGACCTGGAGTGCAGGATTTGCCTCTTCTCCAAGTCAACAATGTACACTGTAAATGGAGGCCTCAGGCTGATCCTCATGGTGTCCCCACTACTGATGTCTCAGTGTTCTATGTGTTAGTGAATCCCTAATCCATGCTAATACATGACCCTAAATACCGTCTTATACAATAACCTTTCATATGGCAACTTATTGAAGGCCTTCTGGAAATCCAAATATGCTACATCTACCAGTTCCCACTTATCAATCCTGCTTGTCATATCCTGCAAGAACTCTGGCAGATTTGTCAAACATGATTTCCCTTTCACACAATCACATTCACTCTGTACTAAGCTTTTCTAAATGCCCTGCAATTTCCTGAAATGTGGACTCTGGCAATTTCCTCAATGGCAGATGGTAGGCTAACGGGCCTTTAGTTACCTGCTTTCTGTCTCCCTCCC